AGGGTAAATAAGAGTGTTGTGGCTGCCTTGCTCGACGATGACTTGAGGCACAGGGGTGGGACCGGATTGCACACCTTTAGACACGCTGCTCAACCAGATGCTCAGGGACGTTGACACAAAGTGATTACTCAAGAAGGATAAAGGGGGAGGGGGGATTCCGGTAACTGTTCGCAGTGGCAAGCAACAAACAATCTGCCATCAAGCATACATCTCCAACAGGAGATGTTATTTTCTGTTTTGATTATCTAGTTGTTACGAACTTGCTGACAACTAACAGACAGCTACAGATAGACTAAATCTTTGCTGTATTGCAATCTGTTCCAAGGTAATCTAAAAATAGATGTAATATATCCTGTAGGACCTGACATTAGTTGTAACTACATCACCTAACTATTTCTGTCCCAGCTGACCGTAAGTAGTTGTGTATCATATGCGGATGTATGTCAATCTAAGGTAGGATTCAGTGTGGATTCTAGTTTAGATCACACACACTGTAGCTCATGAGTGATGCAAGCACAAGTGAGGAGGAGTTACTAGTGGACGACCGGAGGACTACTCGCAGGACTGCCCGCAGTCGACCCTTGACATTCTTGGAGTTAGGTCCAGGAGACGAGAGAAGATTGAGGAGAGAGGCTAGAGAAAGGGCAGTGGCAAGGAGAGCGAGGGCAGCTGAGGACATTGCTAGAGCTAGAATTACAGCTAGCATCAGTACAGCCATGGCTACCTCATCTATGACGCAACCCTCTACACAGCCCACTTCGTCAGGAGTCAGTCAGAGTGGTACTCACGCGGCCACTAGTCAGATTGGTCATGTGCGAGTCAGCCAATCTCCTATCACGCTGGAGGACTTGGAAATTCGGCAAGCAGAAGAACTTCAAGATGAGCTACAGCGGCAGATGGATGAAGTAGTAGAGAGGAGAAGGAAAGCTATGCAAAGAAAAGCTAGACTAGAGAGTAGATTGCAGGAGTTAGGCAGACTGGAAAGACTAGATGAGGCAACATTAGACCCTGCTGTTCGTGTGCTGCGAGGCGCCTTACTTTCAGTGGCGGAAGCGCAAAGCGTTCAACAGGAATTGTTGGCTGATTTGGTAGCAGGCCAGAAACAAATTCTGGCTGAACTTAGGGGCATTCGCCCAACGGCGAGGCCGCCACAGTTTGCTGTAGTTCCCCCTGTAGGTGCGGGTCCATCATCGATGCCGCAATGCACAGGGCAAACTTTCTCTCCCATGTTTGGCACGCCCTCCCCGGGTGGTTTAGGTGCACCTAGTGGTCCGGTTCATTCAGTCTCAACCGTACCGTCTACAACAATGGTCACTACAGTCCCACTGTCCAGCGAGGCCCAGGTTAGTATGCAACAACCTGTTTCAGTGGTTATGCAGCCGCTGCATCAAGCACCTGGGCCCATGCAGCCGATGCAGTGGATGCCCAAGATACCTCTGATGAGTCCCAAGCCTTTCTCTGGAGACAAGAAGAGGGAGGAAGACTTGGACACCTGGGTGAGGACTGTGCCTACTTATGTGAGGCACAAGCTCACAAGGCCAGAACAGGAAGTGGTAGTGGCTGCCTCCTTTTTAGAAGGATCAGCAGCCCGCTGGTTGAATGGCTTGGTGCAGCAACAGGGCTACGGTCAAGATTTCGATGCCTGGGCTCAGTCTCAGACATTGGAACAGTTCGTACGCTCCGTCTACAATAGGTGGAATGACCCGCAAGGGGCTCAAAAGGCCACCGATGCTATCAACAACCTTTGTTCCTGTAGGTTCAAGGATGTTAGAGAGCTTACAAACACCGTAGAACGCCTTCTCGTGGTACCTGGTGTGCGTTTTGACCCGCAGGTTCTCCTAATGGATTACCTAAGGTGCCTACCTACAGAGGTAAGGACCAAGCTGGTTGATGAGGCCTATATCGACCAACACACTTTTGCTTCTTTTAGTAAGAAAGCACTGGACATAGAGGCAAAGCTAGGATCTGCGCATAAGGCATCCAATGATGGTAGGAAGATACTGCCCCAAGATTGGAAGAAAAAGGGTCAGTTAATGTTCGTTGACCACGATGGTCAAACGACGGAGATTGATGACTACTCAGATCTTGGGGAGTTCACAGAGCACGATGGGGGTGGCGAAACTTCAGATGGTGGAGTCGTGGCACCCATCAAAGAAAAGGCTAGGGGGACCGGGAAGAAGAAGGTAGTACGGTCCACGGGTCAGGGCGACCAAGGAACACCCGCATGGGTGAAGATTGGTTTAGAATACGAGGTGTGGCGTGACCGCGTTGCTAGGGGTACATGCATGAACTGTGGCAACTTTGGCCACACGTCCAGGACTTGCCGCGACAAGAAAGTCACAACGAAGGTAGCCTCACCAACGGTGGTGGGCCTACCTTCAAACCGTGGAAGTGCTTCTGCGAGAAGCTCACAGGGAAACACCTCGGTCCAGTAGGAGTGTTAGCTACTCTTACTCGCGCTGAAGTGGTAAGGTTGCCTTCCCCACTTCAGGCGTTGGCCAAGGCTAGTGACCCACGTATCGCCCCGCAGACACATACAGACCCACCGACGCTCTGTTCGAAAGATGTGTCTGAGGCTCTAGAAGAGTTAGAGACTGAGTGGTCAGGGAAGGACCCCAGAGACTCTTGGGCGATGATGAGTGGAGGTCCAAAGGGTGAACATTTCGTGGTAGAAGTAGATGTAGGTGGCCGCAAGATTGCCGCCTTCGCAGACACAGGCTCTACACGAAATTTCATCAGTCGTGCTTGTGTGGATAGACTGCGCTTAGGAGACCAAGTGCAGCGGCTTAGCAGAACTGTAGCTTCTACGCTAGCCAACAAGCACAAGATGGTAGTAAAAGACTATGTCAAGGACATAGCCTGTTCCTTCTCCTATGGAGGAGGGGAAGTGATCCACAAGATCACCTTCCTGGTTAGCGACGAACTTCCTTTTGATATGCTCCTAGATATGTACTACCTCGAGGCCGCGAAACCACAGTTGGACTGGGATAGAAAGGTATTGATTCACAAGTTGCCCAACGGTAGATCTGTTAGATTGCAGAAGTTCAAAGCTAGCAGTCTAATAGAAAACTACGGGTGCATGTGTGCATCATCTTTCTATAACTATTATAAACAGAATCGCGAGGAAGACATGTATCTAGTTTTTGTCTCTGAGAAAGGGGAGGCCGTAAAATCACCCCCAGAGATAGAAAAAATCGTCGCTCAATATTCAGACCTTTTTGAGGAGCCCACAGGCGTGGTGGAAAAGGAGGTGGTCCATGCAATAGAGGTTGTCCCAGGTAGTAAGGTGCCTAGAGGACGAATCTATAGGATGTCTCCTGCGGAGTTAGATGATCTTCGCCGCCAGCTTAAAGAGCTCACAGAGAAGGGATGGATACGGCCTAGTACCTCCCCTTACGGTGCGCCAGTCTTATTTGTTCCTAAGAAGGGAGGTCCATTAAGGATGTGCATTGACTATAGGGGCCTCAATGCCATCACCGTAAAGAGCGCGGAGCCCCTACCCCGCATTGACGACCTCTTGGATAGAGTGCAGGGATGTCGGTACTTCACAAAGATAGATCTGAAGTCCGGATACCATCAAATTGCCGTTAAGCCTGAGGATCAACACAAAACCGCATTTCAGACCAGATACGGTCTGTACGAGTTTGTGGTGATGCCTTTTGGCCTATGCAATGCGCCTGGTACATTCCAGCACGCGATGAATAGGATCTTTCATAACTACTTGGACAATTTTATCGTCGTGTACCTCGACGATATTCTCATCTTAAGTAGGACTGTAGAGGAGCACGCTGAGCACTTGAAAATAATGTTAGGTCTCCTAAGACAGCACTAGTACAAGGTAAACTTGGATAAATGCGAGTTTGGTCACACCAAGATCTTGTACTTGGGTCATGAAATTTCAGCAGATGGATTGAGGCCGGAAGATGCGAAAGTGGCCAGCATACGTGACTGGCCCAGATCTCAAACTGTTACTGAGGTCAGATCGTTTTTGGGGATGACGGGCTACTATCGTCCGTTTGTGAAAAACTATAGTACTATAGCTTCCCCATTGACAAATCTTACTCGACTTGACACCCCTTGGGAGTGGACTGAAGAGTGTGAGGCAAACTTCAAGCAATTGAAGTATGCTCTAACACACTATGAAGTTCTCAAACTTCCCGATCCTGACAAGCCGTTTGTCGTGACAACAGACGCCAGCCAATATGGCATTGGCGCTGTCTTTGCACAACAGGAAGGGCCAAAGTTGAGACCGATCGAGTATATGAGTAAGAAGATGCCTTCCAAGAAGCTAGCTGCGTCCACTTATGAAAGAGAGCTCTACGCCCTATATAGAGCGCTAGTTCATTGGCGACATTACCTCCTAGGGAGATTTTTCTATGTGAGGTCTGACCATGAGACTTTGCGTTGGATTAAGACGCAGCCCGTGTTGTCTGACGCACTCAAGAGATGGATTCAAGTGATAGATATGTATGACTATCAACTTGATCCTATCAAAGGTCCGTACAACAAAGTGGCAGATGCGCTGTCAAGAAGGGCAGACTATCTAGGCGCACTAGTAACTGAATTCGACATATCTAATGATCTTACTCGATCGCTGGTGGAAGCCTATCAGGGAGATACAGTTATGCCAGAGATCATTCGTAAATTCCATGGTAAGAAGAGTTTGGACGAATTTACCATGGTAGATGGCTTGCTGTTCCTTGAAAAGGCAAGGTTTAAAAGACTATGTGTCCCGGATAGTGAGTCTTTGCGTAGTTTATTTTCAGGAGAATGTCATGATGTTGTAGGTCATTTTGGTTATAAGAAGACATCAGCAAACTTAGTACAGAAGTTTTGGTGGCCTTCTATGATGAAGGATGCAAAACTGTATGTCGTGACTTGTCAGGTTTGTCAAAGAGATAAACCCATGACTCAGGCTCTGCTTGGGCTGATCAAGCCCTTGCCGATCCCTGAAGGTCCAGGTCAGAGTGTCTCCATGGATGTTATGGACACTCTTGTGACCAGCAAAACCGGCAAACGACACATATTCGTCATAGTAGATCGCTTTACTAAGTATGCCATACTTATCGCTATGCCGGAGACAGCAAAGACAGATCACGTCATCAAATTGTTTATGGATAACTGGGTAAGGGATTCGGTCTACCTACGTCTATCGTAAGCGACAGGGATGTAAGATTTACCAGCGAACTGTGACAGTCTACAGCTGAACAGATGGGAACCAAACTCCAGATGACATCATGGAATCATCCTGAGTCAAATGGACAGGCAAAACAGATGAACCGAGTGGTACAGCATTTGCTGCGGCACTACATCAAGCCAAGTCAGGATGACTGGGATGAGAAGTTACCTCTCGTCGCCAGCCTGTATAATAATGCAGTGCACAGTGCTACCGGAATGACTCCCAACCAACTGCATCTTGGTTGGAAGCCTAGAAATGCCTTGGACTTCTTACTATCGGAAAGAGAATCCACTGCAGCACCTAGCAGCATAGAGTTTGCTGTTAAGTATGAACAGATGTTGCAGCAAGCCGTAGAGCACATTAGAAAAACTCAAGATGCAATGATAGCATCTGAGAATAAGTATAGACGACCTTCTAATTTCCAGGTAGGTGACAGAGTTTGGGTAAAAGCATCTGAACTTGGTCAGGAGCTAGGAATCTCTAGAAAATTGATGCCACAATTCTTCGGTCCGTGGGAGGTCCTAGATGTGATAGGAGATCAACCGGATGGGCCATCCTATGTGATTCGCATCCCACCCCATCTACGCACCTACCCTGTATTCCATGCTTCAAAGTTGGCACCTTTCGCTGCTACTGAGCAGTTTSCTTCCAGRAGATCAATGYTGMCCCCAACCATGGRTGGCGAAGTGGACATCGACCAGATTGTCGAGCATCGAGTGATGCCTGTTCCATGACCATCAGGCAGAGGGCGCCCTCCTAAACCGAGAATGCAGTACCGGGTGAGCTTTAGACATCACCTCGATCCCAAGGAAGATCGCTGGTTTACACGGGAAGAACTCATGAGAACAACGCCTCAAGTGATTGCAGGCTATGAAAGAGAACGAAAAGGGAAGATGCCTGCAGAATAAGAGACTTCTCAGAGGACTCACGAAGTTAAAGAGGAGGGAATGCGAGGATCAGTGTCGTCGGTAGGCCTACTGGGCCCAGTCTGCAGCCTTACCCGCCCTAAGTGAAGGCGGAGGTGCCCGCCCTAAGTGAAGGCGGGCCTGGCTTTTTGCAAGAGGCCCTCGACTGTCAATTTCATATTTGGGGTCCAGGCAGTTGCGACGCGCCAGTTGGTTGAAAGAAACACAGGCCGAGCACCGAAGACATTTCCACGGCCTACCGGGCCTTTCCAAAGAATGCAGGCCCTGGGCGTGATTCGCANCCCGCCCTAAGTGAAGGCGGGCCTGGCTTTTTGCAAGAGGCCCTCGACTGTCAATTTCATATTTGGGGTCCAGGCAGTTGCGACGCGCCAGTTGGTTGAAAGAAACACAGGTCGAGTACCGAAGACATTTCCACGGCCTACCGGGCCTTTCCAAAGAATGCAGGCCCTGGGCGTGATTCGCAGCCTCATACAGAGACAGTTGGGCGCCCAACCGAACGAGGCCCAACAGCCCAGTAGCTGCTGCATCCAGACAACATCCTGGGGCCTTCCGGAAGCTGCTGGGCTCAGGCCAGCCCAGCCAGGCTGCGAGAGCTGGCAAGCTCTTTCCTTTATGGAAAGAGCTCTGGCCAGGCAGCCTCATTCAGGCACTCGCATGCTGGCGGCAGCGCTGCTAGAGCAGATGCTCGTGGGCTGCTGCTAGCACTGGGAGGCAAGGTGCAGCACATGCGGTCGTGCAGAGGAGGAGGGCGCTGCTAAGGGCAGCGCCATAGCCCAGCCACCATAGCTGGTGGGCTTGGACTACAGTGAAGCGCAGGGGTGGTCTTCGGGTGACAGAGAAGACAGGTGTGGGTGAAGTCAGGGGATAGGTGAAGGATGATGATGATGATGATGATGTGAGGGCACGTACCTGGTATTGGCGATGGTCTGCATGGGCGGCATCTTCAAGTACTTCGGGCTGCTGGTGATGTCAACAGTTGCATTGTCTTTTTATAGTCTGTAGTAGCTGTGTAGGAGTAGGCTGGGCGCTGAGCGCCAAGTGTGAGTGTAAGGGAACTGGACTCGTGTGTTGAGTGAGAGAATGTGCTCTCCACGGACATTGGTTTTCAGTGCTACGAAACTCCATTGGTGTATTATTGGTGCAATGCTGCTATCTGGACACGGTGTGACTATTTGACTTGCAATGTGATGGTGTGATCTGGGATTGTCATCTCGCTGTTGCTTATTTTTCCTTGCATAGCGGATAAAAAAAAAAAAAAAAAAGAAATGCGTACGGCGCCCCTAGCGTACGAGTAGCGTACGAGTACAAGAGTACGAATCCGTACTCGTACGAGGGTGCGTACAAGTGGCACCGAAGCCAGAGGGGTAGCTTCACCGATCTCGTTCTCTCAGTACCCTCCCGCATCGATATGCTTTCCTCATCCGCTTGAGATTGGAGTATCCCCCTTCTGTATAGTGTTGATGTCAGCAAGGGGATTTATGCACTCTCCCTCTGACCCTCCTACCCTGTATCTGTATTCAATCTCTCTGTTGTCTTCTATTTTTTCCCCTTCTAATAAAGCCTCTCATTCCTTATCCCCCACCTTTTCTCTCTCTGAGCATCTATTTGCAATTCCTGAACACTCCTTTTGGAATAATTCTGATTGCGGATGTTTTGTTATGTCTATTGTAATTTCTGAAGACCTCTTAACCTATCGTGTAGCCTCTGAGTCACCGTAGAGTACAAATATACTCTATCTTCGTCAGCGATCCACGAGTCAACACTTGCCGTGGCCTGCAAAGTAAAGATTGACTTCCAATGGGAAAACTGTCATCAATGACTCAGATAAGCAGTGACTGATCAGCGACTGCTATTGTGAAAAAGACGACGCTCCCAAAAACTCCTTGCCTCAACACATGGTTTGACTACCAATAGATGAAATTCGCTGCTTACAGCCGACGCTGACTATCGTCAGCATCGCCAAGGCACTCTTCAACATACAATGTCGCTGTGACGATGACTCTCGGCACATTGACTTAGTACATAGCGATGTCCCGACTTGCTTCACACACTTTGACAACGAACGAGTGAACTCCGCTGTATACCACCGATGCTGACTCTCATTAGCATCGCCTAGACACTGTTCAACGTACAATGATGATGTGGCTATGGTACTTACACTGAAGTCTCGGAACGCTGACTCACTGGAGAGCGATGGGCAAGCCTACTCACTTGAAAGCATTCCCTCGAGACTCAGACCAACCTTACACATCAGTTTGTGATGTGTCATGACCTAGCACCCCTTCTCGCCGCACATGCATTAGACGCTGAATTCTGGACCAGGGGGGTTACCTTGCAGAAAGCCAAAGGCAAATCCTCCTCTTTGTGTTCCATACCTCCCCGACCACTGGGAAACTTTCAAGTCCCGTACTTTTTTTTTTTTTTTTTTTTTTTTTTTTTTTTTTTTGGTGGGCCGCTCCATCTATTGGTGGGGAGCATCACCTGCTGGAAACAGGGTCCAGCGTCCCTTGAATACGTCATTTTTTTAAAACTAGACCATAGATAGAAAGCACCTGAGAAAAATCGAGAAACAACTGGGAAAAACAGAAACATGCCAGCATTGATTGCTCTGAGTTCAGAGGATTGGCTGAGCAGGTTATTCCTGGACCACTCGTCTCCCCACCCGTCCCTAAACCATCCTTCCATCTGGGTGACATCATACCACTTTTACCTTTTCTGGGTGTCAAAAATCTGCTTAAACAGCTAACAGAAACTGACACCCT